CATTTGCATTGATTGTATTGTTTTCAGAAATCATATACAAAACATGTTTTGTAATAAGATTATTACTATTAATATAATCATTGGCTACTGTTTTGTTTTTGTTTGATTGTATTTGTTATTGAAATCTCAAACAGACTATAACCATGTTCCTATGCTAGTAATTATATGAATTTAGTCATTCAATATTCTATTTGAATGTAATGTCATTATTACTGTATAACTGTGTTATGTTACAGATGCATGTATCAAATATAATACCTAGTGTAGATTCCACAGTGAGAAGTATTAGCATACAAGTACATACAGACAATTGATTTTTGTAATTTATCTTAAGTAAATTATATTTTTTAATATCATTTCATTGCATTCAGAATCCATAATGAAATTAATATTAAAATTTTTCTATATTTGCGAAGACTTCAAATGTCACACAAATTATAGTAGTTTTCCATATGAGAGACGATTTATTAAAAAGGATACATTGAAAACCCATTTAAAGCTTTAAAACACATGTAAAGTATATAGAGTTTACAATCTTATCTTGCTCACACATTACAAATATATTAATTTGAATGACTAGACTGCGATTGAAAATCTTTTGCTTATAATTATTAAGCACTCAATGAATGTTCATTGTACCCTTTTTAATAAATCGTTATTCATATGAATCTGTACTATTGAGGATATCATATGATATAAAAGTCAATAAAATAGATTATTCAAGTTAAATATTAGTGCAAATTGAGAATTTTAATATTTATTTTAAAGGTGTTGTTAATATGAAAATTAAATTGCTAATTTATTAAATAATAGTATAATTATAATTTTATATAATAGGTGGGAAGTAGTAAACATTTAAAATGACACATTAGTACTTTCAATGTCTTGATGAAATCTAATTGATGTCATAAATATTCAACTTGTTTTACTATCAATTCATAAACTAGTAAATAACTCGTATTTAAAATTTTTATCAACTTTATTTAGTACCTATAATAAGTTTTGATTTAAATAAAACTTTTATTTAAAATAAAAATTAAAATAATAGTTTTTTTTATTAGATTTCATAATGATTACTTTTAAGGAAATGTTATATTTATTCGGTAAGCCATTTGAGTACATAGAAAGGCATTCCTCTGGTTTGTGGCATAAATTCATTGAATCCGTGAATATGTCTTATATTGACTGCGATTTATACCTCAAATCCCGTGAATTACCGATTCGTGAAAATAGCTTTCATTTGATGGCATACGAGGACCAGGTATTCAGTAGATTATGATTTATTATAGTTTAGAACCGGAGAAATAGTCTTTCAGATGATAATTTGAAAACCTGCCCTAAATATAATCAAGGACATTCACAAAGAGATTTACAATAAACTTATGCTAATATGAATGTGTAAAATATATTAGATTAATCATATAGTAAAATAAAAATTAATTTACAAAAACAGATAAATTAGTAATGTTTAAAAAGTCTTTCTTTATTATATTAATGTTTTTCAAAAGTTTAATATGAATAAGTTTAAGAATAAGCTTGTTTAATTAATAAACTTTTTATTTTACTACATGATTAATTTAATGGATTTCACATATTCATAATTTTATAAGTTTATTGTAAATCTCTTAGTGAATGACCTGGATTATATTTAGGGCTGGTTTTCAAATTATCATCTGAAAGACTATTTCTCCGGTACTAAACTATAGTTCATAAAAATGTAATCTTAAATATTTCAGAAAGAGTTTTTAGAGATAAATAATATGAAAGGGTCGGCCTATTTTAATTCACTAGTAGTTCCCGTATTGGCTCACATTGGAAAGCATGTCAACAAAAGGTATCAAAATGTTATCAAAATTTAATATTGTATACCGCTATAACTTATACATTTGAATAATAAATATAAGTAATTATTTGTATTTAGTGTACACTTATATGTATTTGAGTGCTCGAAATGGGCTGAACCACAAAATGTATCAAATCATGAAATGGTTAGACAGGGATTAATCACGTCATTGGACACTACTTTAATTGATTATACCTGGCACACTCAGGTACAATCATTGAATTGTACACAACCGCTATACATGGGATATATTATGAATTACATCAGTATTGATGTCTATAAACCCTTTCCACAGATTATGGATATCTGGAAAGTATTTGATAAAAATGTTTGGTTTTGTATTATCTCTACATTATTTGTGATGATTATACTGGACACATTAGTTAATTTGATAAATAATTGTAAAATTTCAATTGAATTATTGTTAAACAAGTTTTGGCATTACTTTAAGCCACTTTTGTTGATCGGACAAAGTTTAGGTGTTTGTAATTATTTGTATTTATTATGGGTTTTATCGGTCACACCATTAGTACATATCCTACAAAACGACTTAACGGCACAAATGGTGGACAGGGATGTCATGAATGTGGACACAATCGACGACTTATTTGATGACAGACTCGAGGTTTATGCCCAATTTGAGTTGTATACAGACTTTGAATCACCTAAATTTTATTCACAATTTGAGCCCACATTCAAATATAAATTCATACAAATGCTACAACGGTTACGTAAAATGAATACTCAGAAATTTTTAAATGATATTCTTGATCAGGAAATGAGTATCTATGAAATGTTTAAAAATATTGTTTATATAGCCAACCAAGTAATTATGACCACGGTCGTATCATTTTTATCACGACTCGTGCCCTACCATATCGGTCGACCAGATTTGCCTATTTATTTGACATCACTATGTTATGCACCGGACTTTCAATACACAGATCAGGCCATACAATACACTCAAAATTTATATAAAGATACATATTATATTTATATTTATAATAATAATACATTATCAAAAGTTGCGGATAAACTCTGTAGCTAAAGGGTTGTGACCCTATTAAATAATCGGCTGATTTACTATCAGGTTTATCGAGGAATTATCGATGGAAGTGGTGTTTTAGGGGACAGACATCTGCATGACTTATACGTGGATCCCCTCTCAATATATGAACCATTGGCTTATAACACATTTAAATCTCTTTTCCTATTCATTGGCTATTGTTTCACATTTGGATTGATTGTATTGTTTTCAGAAATCTTATATAAACATGTTTTGTAATAAGATTATTACTATTAATATAATCATCATTTCCATGAACCTATATATTTACTCTAAATTCAGTTTAAAAATATTTGTTTGTTAGTTTTTATTTTACGTAAATAGTTGTAATTCATGAAAACACTTTTGAAAATAACACTGTATACTTTAAATAAAAATTGAGTAACGTTTTTATTATTGCGTAACTGATTAATAAATAAAAATCTAATTCAATATCCTGCTTATTTGGTATTGCATTTAATTGCATTTGGTTTTGTTGTTTTGCTAATAGAAATTGTTTTCAATAGAGTTAATGTATATTTTTATTATTCTCATAAATAATATACTGTATTAGAGTTTTTAAGACTTTATAAGTTATTTATTAATGTGTCAATTTTTTGTTTTTGTTTTATTGTATTAGTAGACCTTTTTCAGTACAATAAATACTAAATATACAAAATATAAATCTAGATATATTTGTAAAATCTCAGTAAACAGTAATATTTGTATCGTTAAGCAGTCACGGCATCCAAACGGTTAAAGCAAACCTTTATTTAATATTTCTTCCGGTGATATAAAATATATTATATTTAAATAACAAGAGTATGTCAAGGTATTGCTTAATGGTAATATTATTCAATGAAATTTTTAACATGTTTACCAGACTTTTGTTTTGTATTTGACTTTGTTTACTTGAATTACGAGACTTTGTTTATCACAATTTCCAGACTGTTTTGTATTTGAATTCTCAATTTATTCAAATTAATTTCATTCATACTGTATACATGTATTTTAATTAGATTTTCAAAATAATAATGATAATAATTTAGTACATATTTGTTTAATGTATATTAAATTATTAAAATATGAATTGATTTATCTTAGACCGGTAGCAATATGTGCAATGTGTATTTTTATACTGAATAATAAATTATGTATAAAAAGACTTTACTGTTAGAATTAATCTAAAACATGTTTAAAATGTTATAATTTTTTAAAAATTACAAATTACAAAATTATATTATAATAATAAAAACAATGACTTCAATCCGAGAATTCATATATTTATTTGGCAAACCATTTGAATACATAGACTCGCATTCCTATGGATTGTGGCATAAATTCATTGAATCCGTGAATATGTCTTATATTGACTGCAATTCATACCTCAGATCCCGTGAATTACCGATTCGTGATAACAGTTTTAATCTGATGACATTTAATGACCAGGTATAAAATATTGTTTATAAACTATATTAAATTATTATTAATAACAAAAATACATAAAACTATTTAATATTACTTTCAGATAGAATTTTTAGAAATAAATGCTACGAAAGGGTTGGCATATTTCAATTCACTAGTAGTTCCCATATTAGTCCAAATTGGGAGATACCATAATTATAGGTGATGTACATTTTATAATTAATTTAAAAATTATTAGTTATTAAATTATTACAATTTTAGCGTGAACCTATTTGTGTTTGATTGTTCAGCATGGGAAGAACCACAAAATATATCCAAATATGAATTAATTAGACAAGGTGCAATCACCTCGTTGGACACCACGCTAATTGATTATACCTGGCACACTCAAGTACAGTCACTGAATTGTACACAACCGCTATATATGGGATATATTATGAATTACATCAGTATTGATGTCTATAAACCCTTTCCACAGATTATGGATATTTGGAAAGTATTTGATAAAAATGTTTGGTTTTGTTTTATCATTGCGTTTATAGCAATCATTGTAACCGATAAAGTGGTTAATAAAGCAAATAATAGAAATAAATCCTTAATAGATAAAATTAGGATTTATTTTAAATCAGTTTTACTAATGGGAGATAACTTAGGATTTCGTAATTATGTGTACTTATTATGGGTGGTATCGGTCACACCGGTCGTACATATCCTACAAAACGACTTAACGGCGCAAATGGTGAACAGGGATGTCATGAATGCCGACACAATCGACGACTTATTTGATGACAGACTCGAGGTTTATGCCGATTATTATTTGTATAAAGACTTTCAATCGCCTGAATATTACTCGCAATTTGAGCCAACATTTCAATCTAAATTCATACAAATGCTACAACGGTTACGCCAAATGAACACCCAGCAACTATTATTCAATGTTATCGAAAAACAAACGAGTTTCTATGAAATGTTTAAAAATATTGTAGTTATCACAAACAAAGTATTTCTGAGCACGGTCGAATCATTTTTATCACGACTCGTGCCCTATCATATCGGTCGACCAGATTTACCTATTTATTTGACACCATTATGTTATGCACCGGACTTTCAATACACAGATCAGGCCTATGTTATGTGAGTTTTAAATATATTTCTATGTATAATATAAATATAAATATTATTATTATGTAATAGTTTTCAACGCCTATTTGAGACATCGATTTCCCAACACTGGGATAATTTTTTAGCCGACTAATTTGACACCATTATGTTATGCACCGGACTTTCAATACACAGATCAGGCCTATGTTATGTGAGTTTTAAACATATTTCTATGTATAATATAAATATAAATATTATTATTGTATAATAGTTTTCAGCGCATATTCGAGACATCGATTTTCCAACACTGGGATAATTTATTAGCCGACTATTACTATCAGGTATATCGAAGAATTATCGATGGGAGTGGTATTCTAGGGGACAGACATCTGCATGACTTATACATAGATCCCATCTCCATATATGAGCCGTTGACTTATAACACATTTAAATCTCTTTTCCTATTCATTGGCTATTGTTTCACATTTGGATTGATTGTATTGTTTTCAGAAATCTTATATAAACATGTTTTGTAATAAGATTATTACCATTAAAATAATCATCATTTTCATGAACCTATTTATTTACTCTAAATTAAGTTAAAAATTATTTGTTAGTTAGTTTTTATTTTACGTACATAGTTGTAATTCATGAAAACAATTTTGAAAATAACACAGTATTTTTTTAAATAAAATTGAGTAACGTTTTTTATTATTGAATTAAACTATTAATAAATAAAAATCTAATTCAATATCCTGTTTATTTCGTATTGAATTAATTTATTTGCGTTTTATTATCTACAGCTTACTTAATATACAGTATTGTGTCATATAATCAAATAGTATATTTTGAATTAACATTCACATATTTTATCACAATTACTATATGTTTGCATAACTTAATTATACCTGATTTTTATAATTATTTATGCACCCATATTAATAAAAATTTTATAATATTTCTAAAAATGTGATATTTTAAGAATAATGAAAATTGTGCAAATCATTTTATTAAAAATAATAGATATTCATTTTGCAAAATATGCTGATTTTATATTATGCTAGGAGTTACAAGTCAATTTCTAATAAACTGTAGTCTAGTTAAAACCAATTTAAAATTCTATAATAAACTAATAAATTAAAATATCGTATTAGCAAGTTAAAATACATATATTATTATAAAATGGTTTATGATATACTATTAATTATATTTATAATTGTCACATTTTACTCATGTATCGCACTATTTGTGATTTACAGTAAATATCATTAAATACTTTATAATTTTAAAATTAATATTTTAAATTCAATTGTAAGGCAAATGTGGCGATGGGTTACACAACTACTGGTCCCCGACTGATATGGACATTCAGGGCGCCTATCCTTACTATTATAATCCAGTCAATAATCCTACGGCATCTGTCAATTTCTTGAAGGTCTATCCATGAAAATAATATTTTTTGTTTTATAAATATATTATTAGCACTTGTTACCGAGAACATCTAATCACATTGTGAAAATAATACTGTATAAAATAACCGATTTAATAGCATAGTCATTTTTCATGGTATTCACATTTGACTTAAATATTAAATCAAAATTATAGTAAAAATATTTTTAAATATTTATAAAGTACATTTTTCAAATTAAAGATTTTTATAATACGTTACAAAAAAATATTATTTGTTTCATTATTTGACAGATATTTGAATGTTGCCATAGATTAAAAGTAATATTATTCACAAAACATTGAAATCTGTATTCATAAATAGCTAATTAGATAATATAAATAAATTACACGAGTTTTATGTTGCATATTATACCACATTTATGGCTTAAAAGCACATTTATCCAATTGACTGAACACCACAAAACAAACGCAAACATTTAATAATTAATTAATAATTATGCTTATTTCAATGAATCGATAGCAAAAACAATTACCCAAAAACCATATTATCATATCTAATACACGTATGAATAGTATGTATAATAGTTATCCACGAAACCAATGAAAATGTTATTTATTTCTGTCTCTAAACACAATAGTCGTCAATAAAACAAATCACAAAACTATTCACTCGTATTTTATATTCACTTTAATATATATATACCAGTCGTGAATATACGAGAATATTCTGTGAGAAAATGAGAATTTATTTTATTATACCCGTAATCCTTGTGCTAACTACCGGCGCCGTAGCTCAGCGTAAGGATCAGTCCCAGAAACCTGAGACACAATATGCCTCATCCCTGTTCCGCATGAATCAGGTGCTCGAAGGGGTACCGTTCCTGCAGACCGTACAGAATGTCACATCCGTTTCCCTGTGTCTCATGAATTGCATGAAACTGAAGCCCAACTGCAAGTCATTCAATTGGGGCCGTAATGGGGACTGTCAGCTCATGTCCGACTCGGTCTGTTTCAACGAGACCCTCCTGTTGACCTCCCGGGAGGGCTATGCCTACTACGACCTTATGGACACACCTGACTATGAGGTAGTAATATTGAAATGAATTTAATTAAATTGTTATTTATTTAATTAATTTTTTAAACTAAAACTTGATTAAACTTTTATAACTATTTACCTAGTTATATTTTATAACTTTTATAATCTTGGTAAAATTAATTTTATGTTTTAGTTAGGCTTAACTTTTATTTTACAGAATTTATACAAATATTTTGTTTAAATATTTACCGGAAAATAAGGTCAAAAAATAATGCCATAAATATAAGTGAATAAATAATTAATGTTGAGATTTATGAGACAATTTGTGTGTTTATTTTTAGTTATAGCTGTATGTACTGTATGTAAATGTTTGCCATTTATATCAAATACACTCCAGTGAACCAGATTTCTATGTATTTCAAGTGCTGTATAAATATTAATTTTGTTTCAGTATGTTAAAGAATTTTATTATTTACCTGGATATTTACATCTAGAAAAAACATCTCAAGGACGGTTATTGTCGACTGTTTGGAAAGTGTTCCGGTAAATGCTATCCAAGGACTCGTAAGTATTAATTTATTTTAAGTTAACACTTTTCCAAATTAAATAAAAATAAAGTAACTACTCGATACCTTAAATTTAAAAGTTTAAAATCTATATTGAAAACTAATATAAATAGTAAGACTGTAAAATAAAACTAAAATTATAAAACATTACCAACAATTTATAAACCTTATGAAAATGCAATATTTATCTAAACTAGATTTTTATAATTAATTACTATGCATGTTAAACTCTAAAATTAAATGAGAAGTTATTATAAAATAAACTACGATCCTCTAACTAAGTTACTATGATATTAAATAACGTAAATCCCTTGGCACCGGTAGCTCACTTCGTGGACACGCCGATGAAGAAAAGTGAGGCCAAAGCCCACTGCGAGGGGTTGGGCCGTACGCTAGCGATGCCCCTAAACCTCGACGAACAGCGTTTCATCGAAGCGTTCACCCGCACCCGTTTAGAAATACTAATAATGACCTGAGCAATTTTTTTTATGGTTAACAATCAGAGCACAAATATGACCGTTTGCGGCCAACTAGCGATGTATGCCTTTAATAGTTTAATACAATATTTACAACACTAGTATTTCATGAATCAGGAATTAGTCATTAGTATTAATAACAACTTTTAAAATTGATATTAATTTTTATTGGGAGCGGATCTATTGACCTAAAAACCATTTGACCTAAACTTAAATAACTTAATGACCAGTAGGTAAATATACTTGATGACAAGTGTAAAATGTTCCCCTTGACCTAACCTAACCTTACCTATCCTAACAATGGTCAAAAGTCTGTTGGTCATTAAGTTATTTAAGTTTAGCAGTTAAACGTTCAAGGGTAAAAATAATGAATTTCGTTTCATATTGAATACACAACACGACACCTCATTTACTACACAGTTACGAAATGATAAGTCATAAAGATTTGTTTCCCTATTTAGTAACTTTGTTTACAAAATATTTGTTGTATATTTATGGCATATTAAATTTTTTATTTTGATTCACAGCAAATATATTTTTCTACAATCACGATATATTATAATTTGAAAGTTTACAAAATATTTGTTGTAGGTTTCAAATATCTTAAATTGGTGTATTAATCATTTGAATATTATATTTTTGTTTACTAAATTGTCATATTATTATTCGAAATGAAAATTATGTTTTCACAACAAATCTTTGTCACTTTTAAATCATAAAATATTAGTGTTTGGAATAGTTAATAAGTTTATTAATATTATCAAACACTAATTTAGAGATTTAAACAATTTTGGACGCCTATTACAATAATACAAAATATAAATATCGGGTGTCCCATCATGTGGAGTAAATGATGTGTCAATGCTTTACTATTCAGTATTTCTAAACAAAGGGATAAATCATTGAAAGTTTACAAAATATTTGTTGTATATTTATGGCATATTAAATTTTTTATTTTGATTCACAGCAAATATATTTTTCTACAATCACGATATATTATAATTAAATTGCATAATATACTGTATGTTTAAATTTTTGTTTGAATGTTGGCTCAAATTGCGAGTAATATTCAGGCGATTGAAAGTCTGAATACAAATAATAATCGGCATAAACATCGAGTCTATCATCAAATAAGTTGTCGATTGTGTCGGCATTCATGACATCCCTGTTCACCATTTGCGCCGTTAAGTCGTTTTGTAGGATATGTACGACCGGTGTGAGCGATACGACCCATAATAAGTACACATAATTACGAAATCCTAAGTTATCTCCCATTAGTAAAACTGATTTAAAATAAATCCTAATTTTTATCTATTATGGATTTATTATTTGCTTTATTAACCACTTTATCGATTATAATGATTGCTATAAACGCAATGATAAAACAAAACCAATCATTTTTATCAAATACTTTCCAAATATCCATAATCTGTGGAAAGGGTTTATAGACATCAATACTGATGTAATTCATAATATATCCCATATATAGTGGTTGTGTACAATTCAGTGACAGTACTTGAGTGTGCCAGGTATAATCAATTAGCGTGGTATCCAACGAGGTGATTGCACCTTGTCTAATTAATTCATATTTGGATATACTTTGTGGTTCTTCCCATGCTGAACAATCAAACACAAATAGGTTCACGCTAAAATTATAATAAGTTAATAAGTTAATAATTTTTAAATTAATTATAAAATGTACATCACCTATAATTATGGTATCTCCCAATCTGGACTAATATGGGAACTACTAGTGAATTGAAATATGCCAACCCTTTCGTAGCACTTATTTCAAAAAATTCTATCTGAAAGTAATATTAAATATTTTAATGTATTGGTGTTATTAATAATAACTTAATATAGTTTATAAACAATATGTTATACCTGGTCATTAAATGTCATTAAATTAAAACTATTGTCACGAATCGGTAATTCATGGGATTTGAGGTATGAATTGCAGTCAATATAAGACATATTCACGGTTTCAACGAATTTATGCCACAATCTATAGGAATATGAGTCTATGTAATCAAATGGTTTCCCAAATAAATATATTAATTCTCGGATTGAAGTCTTGTTTTTAATATTATAATATAATTTTGTAATTTTTAATTTTTAAAAAATTATAACATTTTAAACATGTTTTAGATTAATTATAACAGTAAAGTCTATTTATACATAATTTATTATTCAGTATAAAATACATATGGCACATATTGCTACCTGTCTAAGATAAATCAATTCATATTTTAATAATTTAATATACATTAAACAAATATGTATTAAATTATTATCATTATTATTTTGAAAATCTAATTAAAATACAATATGAATGAAATTAATCTGAATAAATTGAGAATTCAAATACAAAACAGTCTGAAATTGTGATAAACAAAGTCTCGTAACTCTAGTAAACAAAATCAAATACAAAACAAAAGTGTGGTAAACATGTTTAAGATTTAATTGAATAATATTGACATTAACCAATACCTTGACAATACTGCCGCCATTATAGACGATATCGTAAAATAAAGTATAATTCATATATAATGGCACTATTTTGGGGGTCGTCTCGCGCCGTATATACCGCGCAATTGTTACCGGAATTCGGTTCGATTTATAGCTTTTTTATTAAATTTCAAGAATTTATCCCAATTTATATCTTAATTATCAATTGTATGGCAATTAATTTGTTTAAAAGACAAGTCATAGCAGATAGAGTTGTGCATTTCTATAAGAATTTTGCCTTAAACAGCAATAAAATTGCATTTGTACCCAAAGACCATAACCCATCTAACTGTCCACAGGCCAGACCTATTGAAAGGTTTTGGGCTATTTGTAACAAAGCTTACTCTAAGACATCCATCACATCTAAAACAACCAAACAATTCACAAGAATTTGGAGAAAAGTTAGTTTTTCTGCTGCAGAAAAGAGCGCATAGACTATGATGGCAGGGGTCCGAAGGGTTCCTAGAGATATCGGAACCAATGGGCCGTATCAACCAATTAGACACCAGAAATGATTCAATACTATACTATTTACATGTCCATCAAATTTCACTCAAATATCTCTATTCGTTATAATTTTAGAATAAAATGAAAACTGTGCCACTATATATGACTTATACTATAGTTTGTTGCATACATTTCTTGCAACTTTTGTAGCATTTAAGAAATAATTTATTTTTTATTCACGTTAAAACTAGAAAATTAACCTTGTATAATTTGTAACTATAATAATATGCAGTGCATGAATTATGATTTTATGAAAGTGGTAATTGTTTGGTGTTTGGAATTATTTAAAATAAATTACATAAATAGTGATAATCTTATTATAAAACATGTTTTGTATAAGATTTCTGAAAACAATACAATCAATGCAAATGTGAAACAATAACCAATAAATAGGAAAAGAGATTTAAATGTGTTATAAGCCAATGGTTCGTATATGGGGAGGGGATTGATGTATAAGTCATGCAGAAGTCTGTCCCCTAGAATACCACTCCCATCGATAATTTCGCGATAAACCTGATAGTAATAGTCGGCTAATAAATTATCCCAGTGTTGGGAAATCGATGCCTCGAATAGGCGTTGAAAACTATTACATAATAATAATATTTATATTTATATAATACAAAGAAATATGTTTAAAACTCACATAACATAGGCCTGATCTGTGTATTGAAAGTCCGGTGCATAACATAATGGTGTCAAATAAATAGGCAAATCTGGTCGACCGATATGGTAGGGCACGAGACGCGAAAAAAATGATACGACCGTGCTCATAAATACTTTGTTTGTAATAATTGCTACATTTTTAAACATTTCATAGATACTCGTTTGCTTTCCAATAATATTAAATAATAGTTGCTGGCTGTCCAGTTGGCGTAACCGTTGTAGCATTTGTATGAATTTAGATTTAAATGTGGGCTCAAATTGCGAGTAATATTCAGGCGATTGAAAGTCTGAATACAAATAATAATCCGCATAAACTTCAAGTCTGTCATCAAATAAGTCGTCGATTGTGTCCACATTCATGACATCCCTGTCCACCATTTGTGCCGTTAAGTCGTTTTGTAGGATATGTACTAATGGTGTGATCGATAAAACCCATAATAAATACAAATAATTACAAACACCTAAACTTTCTCCGATCAACAAAAGTGGCTTAAAATATATCCAAAAATATTTTAACAACAGTTCAACTAAAATTTTAAAATTATTTATAAAATTAATTAATGTGTTGATTATACTCATAACTACAAGTGTAGTGATAATACAAAACCAAACATTTTTATCAAATACTTTCCAGATATCCATTATCTGTGGAAAGGGTTTATAGACATCAATACTGATGTAATTCATAATATATCCCATATATAGCGGTTGTGTACAATTCAGTGACAGTACTTGAGTGTGCCAGGTATAATCAATTAGAGTAGTGTCCAATGATGTTACTAATCCCTTTTTAACAAGATCATATTTAGATATATTATGCGCGTAATCCCATTCAACACATTGAAATACAATCAGATTTATGCTAAAATAAAAATTAAAATATAGGGTTAAAATAGCGACTAATTTTATTATACTAAATAATTGAGAATTTAATAATTTAAAAATTAAATCAGTAAAAGCTAAATTAGTATAAAAATTTTAAAAAATTATCTACCTGTAATTTACTTGCTTTCCAATGGTCGCCAATACAGGAATGACTAGTGAATTGAAATATGCCGTCCCTTTCGTATTATTTATCTCCAGAAACTCTTTCTTAAAATATTTTCATAAATCAAATGAAATATTTATGCCTCAGATGTCATGTCATACCTGATCCTGAAATGTCATCAAATGAAAGCTATTGTCACGAATCGGTAATTCATGGGATTGTAGGTATGAATTGCAGTCAATATAAGACATATTCACAGATTCAACGAATTTATGCCATAAACCAAATGGGTGAGATTTCATGTAATCAAATGGTCTACCACATTTATATAACATATACTTAAATGTTAAAGCCATTATCCTAAAATATTAAATTATAAATTGTTTAAAACAATAAAATAACTTTTACCTGCTGAGATTTATCCAGGATATAATATTATTATACTCATTATAACTGTCTTGAAGATGTTTTCATTGCCATAATCAATAATGTCTATCTATAATTCACCATTTTGATATTTAAAATAATTGTTGCTATATAAATTAATTACGTTATTTTGATTTTAATTACTATGTTAGTACAAAATAATTATTTTCAAATTTGTTTTCACAAAATTTAATTACATTATTTTTTAAACAATAAAATAATTACAGTAATTAATAAAAAAATTATCGAGATAATTATTCTATTAACTATAAATAAATCTTAATAATATTTAAAATACTTAAAATAATTGGTGTGTTTTTAAATATTTTTAATATATTTTAATTTAACATTAATAAATGTTACCAGTTCATTTAAAAATTACCCTATTTATCATAAATAATTGCAACAATATTCAATTATACTTTATAATATTGTCAATATTTAGCTTGTAATAATATTTATAATATATTTAATTAGTTAATTAATTAGCAAGGAACTCTTTCTATGAACAATTTATAATGTAATTTATATTGTAATGTATTTATAATTTGATTTCGTATTAATTTAATTAATTGTTTAAAAAAATTTTACAAATATTAATACAGTAAACATTTTACACACAAATTATGTGTTTTATTACTTAAGATATAAAAACAAGACATTATGAAAATAATTACTTTTAGCCATAATTTAAACAATGATTATAATTATGCCAAAGGGGTCAGTCATGTAACAATTGACTCAACTATTATATTGTTTTAAACAAATTAAACCATTTCTAAAATGCCTGGCCTCCTGTTCAACGAATCTCTCGTATGACCACTTATTATTCGTATAATAGATATAAGCAATTGTTTTGATTTATTATTACTTTAATATTACTGTCCAAAAACGACTGTCCACTATTATCAATGCCACACTTTACGATTTCTATTGTAGTTTATACTGTGATTATTATTTACACAGGGAATTAAATCAATTATCAAACTATAAACATACAGTGATTCCAACTTTAGATGAGTTCAATCAAAAAAAGATTAAACTATCAAGATGATTTTTAATTTAACTGCCCGTTTCACCAGAAATGCGGAATCTTGTGATTTCTCATCTGAATTGAAAATTATTCGGATGTGACCTCTGAGTCAGAGGTTATGACCAAAAAACAGTTACCGAGGTTACACTGTACATATGAAAAATCTAACATTTTCAAATAATTAATAAATTCATAAATGTCTTGACGTGTTTCGGGAATTTGCAAGATAATTCATGGATCACAAGATTTTTAAAGACAAATGTCTTAATAACCGTTATTAATAATGTCTTAAGTCATAGGAATCATACACTAAAAAAGATTCACCATGGATTAATAGTCACTTCGATTGTCATTATTTTGTATAAACCTATGTCATAATTTATATATAATATAATTTAGTGTATTTTAGCAAAATAGAAATACCTGATCCTGAAATCAATTCAAAGCGATTTTCACGATTCGGTAATTCATGGGATTTGAGGTATGAATTGCAGTCAATATAAGACATATTCACGGATTCAATGAATTTATGCCACAATCCATAGGAATGCGAGTCTATGTAATCAAATGGATTACCCCATAGGATAAGCATATCTCTAAAAGTTGCCATTGTAAATACTTAATAAATTTAATTTATATCTGAATAGCCAAAACCAAACGTAACTGAAAAGTTGTTTTAATTTCTTCTTGAAACATTGCTTTTATGTAAAGTTTGAAAATTACTTATATTAAACATTATAAATTTCAAACTTTACAGAAAAGCAATGTTTCAAGAAGAAATTAAAGCAACTTTTCAGTTACGTTTGGTTTTGGCTATTCAGATATTATATTATTTGAAGTTATTTAAAATATATTATTATAACTCAAAATATAATATACTGTATACGGTGAATACAGTAATATAACATTTATAAAAGTACAATACTTCTGACCTAATATATAAAATGATCAATACATTATTTTTATTTAAGAAATTAGCCATTTTAATTTTCATATTAACAACACCTTTAAAATAAATATTAAAATGTTTAATTTGAATAATCTATTTTATGTACTTTATATTGTATCATATGATATACGTACTCTGTAGTATGCTACATTTACAGATATTAGGTTAAATTGCACCGGTATTATTTTAATTAGTTTATATGGAAAATTACTGTAATTTCTGTTATAACTTATTTTAAGTCTTATTACATTTGAAAAAAATTT